TGCATTCCTACATACTAATAATGAACTAGCAGAAAGAGAAATCAGGAAAATAATTTCATTTACAACTGCATCAAAAAGAATAAAATACCTAGGAATAAAATTAACCAAAGAGGTGAAAGACTTATACCCTGAAAACTACGAGATACTCATGAGAAAAATTAAAGAGACACCAATAGATGGAAATACACCCCATGCTCATGGATAGGAAGAATTAATATTGTCAAATGGCCATCTTGCCTAAAGCAGCCTACAGATTCAATGCAATCCCTATCAAAATACCAACAGCATTCTTCAACAAATTGTAACAAATAGTTCTAAAATTCATATGGAACCACAAAAGACCCCAAATAGCCAAAGCAATCCTGAGAAGGAAGAATAAAGCTGGGGATATTATGCTCCCAAACTTCAAGCTCTACTACAAAGTCACATTAATCAAGACAGTTTGGTACTGGCACAAGAACAGACCCATAGATCAATGGAATAGAATAGAGAGTCCAGCTATGAACCCACACATATATGGCCAATTAATAATGACAAAGGAGCCATGGATATACAATGGGGAAATGACAGCCTTATCAACAATTGGTGTTGGCAAAACTGGACAGCTACATGTAAGAGAATGAAACTGCATTACTGTCTAACTTCACACACAAAAGTAAACTCAAAATAGATAAAAGACCTGAATGTAAGTCATGAAACCATAAAATTGTTAGAAGACAACACAGGCAAAACTCTCTTCAATATAAACATGAGCAACTTTTTCTGAGCACATCTTCTTAGGCAAGAGAAACAAAAGCAAAGTTGGGACTATGTCAAACTAAAAAGCTTCTGCACAGCAAAGGACACCATCAGCAGAACAAAAAGGCACCCTACAGTATGGGAGAATATATTCATAAATGACATATCTGATAAGGGGTTAACATCCAAAATAAATAAAGAACTCACATACCTCAACACCCAAAAAGCAAATAACCTGATTAAAAAATGGGCAGAGGATCTGAGCAGACACTTCTCTGAAGGAGAAATTCCGTTGGCTGACAGGCACATGAAAAGATGCTCCACATAGCTAATCATCAGGGAAATGCAAACTGAAACCACAATGAGGTATCACCTCACACCAGTTAGGATGGCCAACATCAAAAAGATAAACAACAACAAATGTTGGCGAGGATGTGGAGAAAGGGGAACCTTCCTACACTGTTGGTGGAAATGTAAATTAGTTCAACAATTGAGGAAAGCAATATGGAGGTTCCTCAAAAAACTAAAAATAGAAAATACCTTTTGACCCAGGAATTCCACTCCTAGGAATTTACCTGAAGAAAACAAGATCACAGATTCAAAAAGACATGTGTACCCCTATGTTTATCATAGCACTATTTACAATAGCTAACTAAGACATGGAAGCAACCTAAGTGTCCAACAGACTAATGGATAAAGAAGATGTGGTACATATACACAATGGAATATTATTCAGCCA